CCAACCAGTGTTTTATTTATTGACCAATCAGAGCAATTTGACATATAGACCGTCCCACAGCAAAGAGTCAGTAAAATTAAAATTAAAATAAAACTAATATTCCGTAAAGGATGTATTATTTAGACAAAATATATTTAGAAGCCTGGGTAGGTTGTTTAGATGGCTAAGGCACACACGAACACAAACATATGAACACACATGCTCACCCCATATACATGTGCCCACACAAATCTGTACACAGATGAATATGCAAGTGTGTACACATATTCATAAAAATACATTCATGAATACACATGCACATACAGATATATACATGTACTCTTATAAACAACTACCAAGTCATAAACTAGTCTCTTTAGGTATTTTTCCATGTATTTAATATGCTTACAGTTTTATACATGTATATGTATGTAAATACTATACTTATCAATGAGCAAATATGTGGTGATATTGTGTCCCCAATATATTGTGCACCTTAATAAACTTATCTGGGGTCAGAACAGAACAGTCACTAGATAGACATAGAGACCAGAAAATGGTGGCACACACCTTTAATCCTAGCATTCTGGAGGCAGAGATCCACTGAGATCTCTGTGAGTTCAAAGCCACACTGGAAACAGCCAGGCATGGTGACACATACCTTTAATCCCAGGAAGTGGTGACAGGAAGAAGAAAGGTATATAAGGTGTGAGAACCAGGAACTAGAGCCTGGTTAAGCTTTTAGGCTCTGGAGCAGCAGTTCAGCTGAGATCCATTCAAATGAGGACACAGAGGCTTCCAGTTTGAGGAAACGAGATCAGCTGAGGAATTGATGAGGTGAGGTGAGCTGTGGCTGGTTCTGTTTCTCTGATCTTTGTGCATTCACCCCAATACCTGGCTCCGGGTTTATTTTTATTAATAAAACCTTTTAAGATTTGTGCTACACAAATATATATGTGTATAGATTGTGTCTGTGATAACATCAAAATATATTTTTTGAATTTGTCTATTATTAATCTTGATTGCTTTGCTTTTTAAAAATAAATCATTTGGTAATTAAATACATGAACCCAATGTATTGGGATATATCATCTTCCTTTGCCCCCTTCCATCTCCTACTGGACATCCCCTCTGTTGATTACTTTTCACTTGCAGTGAGAAAATACCATGGCCTCAATCAACTCAAGGAAGAGAAAATTTATTTGGTTTATGGTCTGTGATTGCTAGTTATCCATAATAGTGAAGGCTTGGTAGCTGGAGCAAGAAGATGAGAGATCACATCTTAATGGCTCACAGGAATGGAAAGAGAGACAGAGACAAATGGAAGCTACAAACCTCCCAAAGCCCACATCCAGTGAGGTACTTTCTCCAACAAAGCCACACTTCCTATACAGGTCTAATACCTCTCCCACACCACCATCAACTGGGGATCAAGAGTTTACATATATGAGCCTTTAGAGGACATTTCTAATTCAAAACATCACACCTCCTCAAATCATTCTCCAACCATATGTCATGAAGAACAGGCAGAAAGATTACAGAAGCCACACTGCAGAAAACTTAAGCAAAAAAAAAAAATCTCTTCTGGACATGGCCAGGCCAGTGCACTCATGAATTCATAGTAGCTTTGTTTGCCTGCACAAGAACTACACAGAAACAAGTCAGTCAGTATTTAAATGTAGACAGGAGAGCTGGAGAGATGGCTCAGTGGCTAAGAGCACTGACTGCCTTTCCAGATGACCCGGGTTCAATTCCTAGCACCCACATGGCATCTCACAACTGTGTGTGAGTCCAGCTTCAGAGAATCTGACACCTTCATACAGAAATACATTCAGGCAAAACACCAGTGCACATAAAATAATAATAAATGTGGGTAGGAAAGGGGCTCAGAGAGAATCAATTGTAGGTGAGGAGTTATGGGCAGGTGGTGGCTACTTTAGGGAGGCAGAATCAGTTTCTTTAGTAGTATGATCCATGGTACATTGACCATACTTTTGGCTTTATTTGATATGCCTATACCCCATTCAAATATACCCAGCATTAATTGCATCCTGTGTGTTATAAAGGAAGAAGGAGGAGGGGGGACGAGGAGATGATAGAGGAGGAGAAGGAAGAAGAGGAGGAGAAGCTTAATTTTCAAATATTAATTGATTTGTGAGACATAAATCTTGCACATATTAATGGGGCACCATGTAACCTTTGATGTATGTATATATTATTTGATGGTTAAATTGGTATATATATGTATATATATATATACATATACATATATATGTGTGTGTGTGTGTGTATGTGTGTGTGTGTGTGTGTGTGTGTGTGTGTGTGTGTGTGTGTGTATCTTCAATCATTTGATTTTATTATGGTAAAAACTTTCAAATCACTTCTATTTCTTTTTCCTAAACTGATTCAGCTCTTTAAGTTTTTCACTCTTTTGGTTGTTTTTCAGTATATTAGTGAAACTCCTGGTTTGTGTCACAATTCTAATTGAACTTTTGCAGGACTTTCCATGTGGATTGCCATTATAGCTATTCTAACTCAGGCTCACCCTCAGTGTTCATGTCTGCCTTTTGCAGCACATCCTCCCAGTGCTTTTGCATTTCATTTTTTTTGCTAGATGTTTTTCTTGTGGTAACCTGTTACCTGCTTCTGGTTTTAACTATGCTTAGCTCCTCCCTCTGTAATCACATATTAGCAGTAAGAACTGCTGAGAGATACTCTCCAGTCTGTTGAGCTGCCTGTAAATTGTGCAGTACTTTCATGGGCTATCATGTATCCTGTGGTGGGATTTTAGTGATGCAGCTGTCTTTTGAGTCATTTCCATCCAGTACATAAAAACTCATGCATACTCTTTTAAGTAACCCAATAAAACTCAATGGTTCACTCAGGTGGACTTTGATGATATCTTTCTTTTGGTCTATCATAGGTTCTCTATCTGAGATGAATTAAACACATGTTCACATTTCACCAGGAATAGTGCCAGAAAATACACAGAAAACTAATTCAATATTTCTGCATATGCAATTAATTTTTAGATGACTGTCCTTTCTCCAATGTGCATTCTTAGCATCTTTGTTGAAAATCTGTTAACTTTAGGTATGTGAGATTTACTTTCTGGCTCTTCAATCTATTCTTACTACCATAGTTATATTTAAATATTTACAAGCTCACCTATTTTCTAATATATACTTTGTATGTTTGTCTTGCAACAAAAAGTATCTAACATATAAATACCTACACAAACAGAATGATGTAATATATCTTTGAGATGCACATATATTTATATTATAAAGGCATTTAGGTCAAATTCAATATGTCATAGATGACATTTTATTAATTTAATTCACAGAGGTGTTTGTTGTATCTGTTTTTCATTGATTTCCACCTCAAGAGTATTGCAGAAATACACAGGACCATATGTATCACTTCCTCTTTCCTTTATCTGTTTGAACAATCTTACCACATCTTGGACAACATACCTGGAATTCACTGGTAAGAAGTGATCATAAATGAAAAGTAAAGCTGAATCATCCTGTGCACTTTGATACACAACTGAGAATAAAGCCAGCCCAGAAAGGGTAAGCTTGCAATTCATAGTTGCTCAAGATTCTGAGGAAGTAGGGTAACAAGTTCAAGGCTTTCAAGACCTGGGAGGGTTACAGAGTGATTTCAAGGCCATGCTAGGTAACTTAGAGTCAAAATATATTTTTCTAAATGACACAAGACAAAGCCCATTGAATAAGCATTGCCCTGGTATATGCAAAGATCTAGGTGTAAACAGTACATAAAACAATTTTTTTTAAAAAAAATTAGGGAAGAAATAAAAAGAAAATTAACTAAAGAGGAGGCTGGGAAAGATTTCTCAGTTGATGAGTATGGAATGCTAGCATTTACATAATAAGCTAGGCACCTGATTGATTTACAGGCTCAGTTGCGATCTCATCCAAATTTTTCTACATTTACTTGATGTATATATAAATATGTAACTACATCCTCACATTGACTGTGTTTCTTTCCTTAAAACAGGTGGCAGCATGATATACACTCTTCTATACACCTTGGCCTTTTCCCCATTCAATTTCTTTTGGAGACCATTGTCTATCAACCTATGAAGAATATCTTCTCTCAAATGAGCGATACATATAAATATATGATGTGTGTGTATGTGTGTGTGTGTGTGTGTTCATCTCAGATCGGGAGTCAATGATAGACCAAAGGAAGGATATCATCAAAGTCCACCTGGGTGAAGCATTGAGTCATTGGGTTACTTAAAAGAATATGCATGAGTATTTATGTATTGGAGGGAAATGACTATATGTATCATATTCTCTTCTATCAGTATCTTGTTACACATTTATGTGTGCAGGCAGAAATTTCTGTCCTGCCAGCAACTCCCAATACCCAGCAGCTACTTCCCAAGTAATTTACTCAGAGGCTTAATATTATTTACAAATGCTCAGCTGGTAGCTCAGGGTTATTACTAACTAGCTCTTACAACTTGAATTAACCCATTTCTACTAATCCATATTTTGCCACATGGCCATGGTGTTACTGTTCTACTAGCGTCTTGCTCCATGAGCAACTGGATGACATCTGTCTAGACTCTGCCCTTCTTTCTCTCTGTATTCAGTTTGGCTTTCTAGCCTAGCTCTATTCTTCCCTGCCATAAGCCAAAGCAGCTTTGATCATCAACCAATAAAAGCAACACATATTCACAGCATATGAAGGACATCCCACATCATATGTGCTTTGAACTCTTGATGTTAAACACAGTCCCACTGGGAATAGCCTTATAAATGTGTGATTTAATATAGTTCTGTAACTCAAAGTTTTCCTGTGTCTCTCCCACTTGCGTCCCCCAAGTAAACACACAGAGGCTTATCTCAATTCCTTGTTCAAGTAGTCTGTGAAACTGGATCATCTCAACTAGCCGTCTTGAACTTGTTCTGAGCAGTTTGTAGTCCAAAGCTGATCTGTGGGTGATGTTTGTCAGCTTAGTGGTATTATTATTGTCCATATGGAATTGTTGTTGTAGGACCCCATCATCTTTCTGGAAACTTCAAATTTGATGTTAGGTCTGGAAGTGATTCCCTGCAGAAAACTTATAGAGACTTGAACACAAAAACATATATAGGCAGCTAACTGAAGCCTTTTATTCTAGAATTATTTAGTATTCTATATGACCATTAATATCATAACAAAAGTTTATATATATAAATCTTATAAATTTTGATATAAATTTATATCTTAAGAAAAGTTTAAAGAATCAAAATAGAACCAAAGAATTGTGAGATTAGTGGCAATAGAATAGTCCCTTAATTTTTTGTTATCTTCTGTCCCATATAAGAAGATGGCTCTTTCTTCTGGCATGATACAAAGATTTCACATTTTCCTTTTAACAACATGCTTGGGTTTAAAGAAGGAGAGAGCCATTCTCCAACCCCAAAGCCAGCTTTAATTTTTAATTGAACTGGCACTTCAAAAAGACTATTTGTGTTAAGTGTCTTTAGAGAAGAGAAGAAACAAACATTTAGGAAGACTTATGAAATTTTATAGATGATAAACCAATAGGACAATAGGGATATATTTTCTAGATGATTTGTCTTTTTTCTTCAGTTGTCTCATTTGTCCAGTGTTCTTCAGATTCCTTAGCCTTCATTCTCCTGAAAGACAAAACAAAAACCTTTCCCCAAGACTAACTTTGAGGAGGTTCCCCTTTGGCAAGTTATATCTGATTAAATGAAAAGGCATTTGTTAATGGTATAAGTTAGTTTAAAATGGATGGTCATGCTGGTTGAAGAACTACCACCTCTTCTAATTAAGAGGTCTCTCTTGTTCAAATCAAACCTTTATCAATTTTGATGGTATCCACAGCTTATCCTCTCCTGTAAAAATAAAAGCAAAACCTCATCTCTAATGTAACACATATCCTGATTTCCATTCTGAGGTCAGCACCTCCTTAAAGTATATAGGCTGATTTAATTCTGTAGATTTTTCTACTATTCAATGTTTCTCCACAGGTGTTGTTCCTTTCTCATTAGCATTGAGATAATTCAAAGTTAATAGAGCATTATGTTTCTATTTCTGGGGGTTTTGTTACCCCTTTCTGTTTATTTAGCATATCCTTTAGAGTTCTGTTTGATCTTTCTATAACTGCTTGGCCTGTAGGATTATGTGGTATACCTGTAATATGCTTTATATTGTAATAAGCAAAAAAACTGTTTCATTTTACTAGAGACATATGCTCAAGCATTGTCAGTTTTAATTTGTGCAGGTATACCCATGGTGGCCATAAGGGAATTCAATTGAAAATAGAATAACTGAATCTTTTATTTGATATACTATATCAAATAAGTTCATGATTGTAGATAAGCACCAGTTAACAACTGTTATCACTATTTAGTTTTCTCCTTGCTGATTGAACTAAAAATGCCATGATCCCATATAACCTGTAATTCCTTTAAATGGTCAATGTAGTTCAAATACTGTGTATGGAACATGACCTACAATACCTGCAAATTTTGATCAAGACTTTTGAATTATCACCTACAAAAATATCATTTATTTACATAACTGATTTAATAAAATACATGCTAAATTTTCTGACAAAACATTGGCTAATATGATATGTGTGGAAACACATATTATTAAAAGACATAATATATAATGTGGAAAGACAACCTTGATACTGTAAATGGGGTAAGTACTGTCCTATGTAGTTACTAAATATGCAGATTGCTTATTCAAAAAGTTATTTTGATTAACATTTGTTTGAATTCAAAGCACATTATATAGAGGGATATTTTTATTTATTTAATCTTAAATATTCTTTTAATGCATTTACCATTATTGTTTAATTTTATTTTCTAATAACTACAGCAGAAAAAAATCTCCATTTTTCCTATAGACATGGCCAATCCTGTAATTATTTACATTTAAAATGACATTAAGACACAAAGTCTGTCAATATACCTTATCTCTTTTACTAAAAGCTCCTATAATCTTTGTTAATTACCATAAATTCTGTGCTACTAGAAATGCAGTTACAGTGAATTACTTGGTCATTCTAATAACATAATCCTGTTTGTTAAAAGACTTTTACAAAAGGGAAAAATATGACTTCTCAGAAAAATATAAACTTTTCTTTTTGAAATCATTTTAAAAGTTAATTTCATAAGAAAAGTTGGTGAACATATTCCATGTTATAATTTTCAATTTCATCGTAATTTCCATTGGAAAATTAGATTAATTTTATCCTTCTGTAAGAACACATTCAAAGTATGTAACTAAATAACACATCCAATCTTTCATATTTCTGCTTAATTGGACAGTATTTGCTAATTGAATTAAAGTTCCCAGAAAATCAGCGATGGGGCAATGGGCATGCAATTTGTTCTGTGGTCCTTGAAAATTATGTTGATATTTCCTATTTTTTCAAGTAAAAATCTTAGTTCATTCCATAACATTCCAAAATCTACTTGTAGTCATTCAAGTAACTGATAACACATACATATGTTTAAAGAAAGCAGTTTGCATGTAGAGTGAAATACTATTTTCCAAACCAGTGGAGCATGATATTTAAAAAGAACTAGAAATGTCATCTTGTAGACTATCCACTTATATCTGTTTGTTCACTCCTTTAAAAGACGACTTTTTATGATAAATTTATGAGCCATTTTGAAAGTACAAAGAATTGATATTTACTAAATGTATGGCATTATTTAGATATTGCAAAGTTTAATGGCATCCACTACTGTAAAAGACAGAAGCAATGTACTAAAGAAAGAGCCAAACAGTAAAACAGAAATTCAAGCAAAATAGTTTTGTCCTAAAGATATAGGAAGTAAGTCTCACCTGATAATTATGCCTATTAATACCTGGAAATTAATTTCAACTTGTTATACCAAGTTATTTTGCAATAACTAAAATACCTGCCAAGTTTCATTTAACAATAAAAATTAAAGATAAAAATTTGGCAATGTGTCATCTTCTTTAAGTCCATAGCTGGCAGATCCTGGCTCAGATCCACATAGAACATGCTGATTCAGGTTTAAGCTGACCATTTGTGGCAATGAGTTTGCTCTAGTCTGTTACCTATTAGATTGTTATGAAAATCACCCATTACATTACATCTCACAGCTCAGGGATTAAAGACATGACATTGACCCAATAAAGAGCACATGTATAATATTCAAATTCATATTTCAGAGTTAGATAAAATTTTATATAGGAAAGATAAAATTTCAATCTATTCATAAATGACAGAATTTAATTATGACACAAGGATTTTTAAATATTTACTTTCAAACAAAGAGGATAAGTGTCCCTAATGAAAACTTACCATATTGTTTCTGGTTCTGTTGAGACTATGTACAATGATAAGTTAAGGGACATTCACATAGTTTTAATTAATTGTACTAGAGAGTTTTATGCACCTGGCAAAACTGTAAGAAACATTTTATTTGTAAGAATCTTCATGTATGTAAATTACCAAGAAGATATCTTCAAATACTAGATATTAAATGAATTGAAGACACACCTCTTCTCCTTCCCAAATATTTTGCTTGTCAGTTATTCTCTTTATAATAAGTAATATGAAAGCAAATGAACATTTCTAAAGTTGAAGTTATACACATATGTCAACCCATAATGATGGATTACTGATACTTCTCTATTTTAACATTTTTTGTAAAATATGAACTAAATAAATACATGAGAAACTTAAATGTAGTTACTTCAGTGATATTCCTTAGTTAAATATTTTTATATATATTTAATTATTAAATACTATTAATATGGCTTAAATTTTGTAAATATACTTCAAAAATGAAATAAGATGTATATAAACAACACTTGCAAGATTGGATAGCAAAATCAAAGGTCCAAAAATTAGACATATTAATAATTATAGGAGAAACCTCACTTTTTAAATATACCTTGAGTCAGAAAAACAATTAAAATTGACCCGTGTCATCTAAGGAAATAGAAGCAGTCATTAAAAGTCTTCTAACCAAAAAAAAAAAAAAACAAGCCCAGGGCCAGATTGTTTCAGCACAAAATTCTACCAGACATTCAAAAAAGAGTTAATACCAATACTCCTCAAATTATTTCACAAAATAGAAACAGAAGGAAGATTATAAACTAATTTTATAAGGCCACAGTTATCCTGGTACCCAAACCACACAAAGACTCAACAGAAAAAGAGAATTACTAGGGAACAATCTCCCTCATGAGCATCGATGCAAAGATTTGCAAACCCAATCCAAGAACAATCAAAAATATCAAATGGGCTTTATCCCAGATATGCACAGATGGTTCAGCATAGGAAAATCTGTCAATGTAATCCACCATATAAACAAACTGAAAGAAAAACAAAGTACATGATCATCTCCTTAAATGCTGGGAAAAAAAAAAAAAACTTTGACAAAATCCAAAACTCTTTTACCATTAAAAAAAAGTTTTAGAGAGATCAGGGATACAAGAAAAATACCTAGTCATAATAAAAGCCACATACAGCAAGCTGATAGCCAATATCAAATTAAATGGAGAGAAATTAAAAGCAATTCCACTAAAATCATGAACAACACAAGGCTGTACACTCTCTTTATATTTATTCAATATAGTAATTGAAGTTCTAGCTAGAGCAATAAGACAACTAACAGAGATCAAGGGGATACCGTTTGGAAAGGAAGAAATCAAAGTATCTTTATTCACAGATGATACAGTAGTTTATATAAGCAATGCTAAAAATTCTACCATGGAACTCCTATGTCTAAAAAACACCTTTAGTGAAGTGGCTGGATAAAATACTAACTCAAAAAAAATCAGTAGCCCTCTTTTATAAAAAATGATAAATGGGCTGAGAAAAAAATCAGGGAAATGACAACCTTCACAATAGGTGCATGTTGTGCAATAATCCTTTTGTATACTGTGAAGATGTTTTGCTATATTGGTTAAATAAAGTAACAATTATCCAATAGCTAGGCAGAAAAAGGTTAGGTGGGAGAGCTGGACTGAATGAACATGGGGAAGAAGGAGGGCAGAGTCACCAGCCAGACTTAGAAGAAGTAGGAGATGAACATGCTATACTGAAAAAAGATACCATGTGGTAGAGCATAGATTAAAAATATGGATTAATTTAAATTGTAAGAGCTAGTTAATAACAAGCCTAAGCTATTGGCTGAACATTTATAATTAATAATTAGTTTCTGTTTGGTTATTTAGAGAGTCATCATTTCCAATGAAAACTCCATCTACAAATGGCAATCAAGGTCCGGCCATGTAAATCCATATAAAACCTGAAAAAGCTAAAGAAAATGTTCCAATCACACAAAAATGGAACCAAAGGTGGCTTCCTGGTCTCATGGACTCATGCCAGCTGCAATACAGAAACACATCTCTCAGCAACTAAATGCAGGATGGAGCCAACCTCTAGCTTCCAGCTACCACATGCTAGCACCATGCGATAAGCTGAGCTGCACAGGCAGCTGACATAACAGTTTAAGATTCATCTCATGCAATTAGAGAATAATGCAGATGCTCAATATAAATAAATCTGGATTAAAAAACAAAAACCCTCTGAAACAGGTTACAGTGTGTTTAAAAGCATACATAAGCTTAAAAAGGAAAGGAGAAAGGATATAGACAGTCATAAAAATAATTTTAAAATAATAAAATAATGTCTTTAAAGAAAGAGTAAAGTAATATAAAGGGGAAAAGCCACATAAAGATGGAAAATACACAGGGAGTCTGGATCCTGTATGGTGCTGTATTGACTTTAAAAC